CATGATTTAGGCATGCAGTGGTATGTATAGTGTATGCGGGCTATTGTCAAATCATGTGTGGTTTAAGGGGCCTAGGCGAGGCGGGGGCAATTTATGCATCTTCTTGTTCATCGGTCTTTCTTGGTTCCTCTCTCCATCTTCTTAAGCCTGTCTAACACTCATAAATACCCGCACACAATTCCCCACATTCATTTCATCAATCCCAAATGTGGGCTGTTTTTCTTATTTCTTTGGACACATAAGCCTTAAGCTTAATTATGCAGTCTTGCAGGGGTTCGTTTACAAACCTCAAAAGCATCATCCGGAGATGCTCCCTTGAATTTGACATAATCTTTAATATGCCCATATTCCTCATTTATTCATCATTTATAGCATTCATTTTGAGTTGAAATAAGCATAAAAACATAAATTATTTTGAAGAAGAAAGTCCCTGCTGTGTCCGAACTAAAATCTTTACTTTTAAAGTTTAAAAATTGTAGCATCGTCTCTATGTTTTAGCATGCTTTATTACTTTCATGATTGCTTGCTCAAACACTACTTATTTTCTATCAATAATTGAAAATTGCGATGAAAAACGAAAGTAGCAAGTCTGTTGGAAAACTTTAATAATTCCTCAAGTGAGCGGTTCTATTTGATTTCTATATTTCTTTGCAAACATTCCGGTTAAATAAAAAGCCGCATTGAGTAGTCAAAGGAAGTGACTTGATTCCAACTTGATATTTGTTTTTAGGGAAGTTATTTATTAGCCCAGGCTATGTCATAATATATTTATCTATATTTTACCTATGCTCTTATCTCATCTATTTTTAGCTAACCTGAAGCATGGTGTTCCCTTAAGTTACCGAGTTGATTCATGTGACAGTCTCAGATATGTAGTATGCCAAACCCTTGCCAAACCACTCACTGCAGAAGCTAGACGCCGAGTCGAAAGACCAGTCTGGATGTCCAATGGCGAAGCAGTTCTGGATAAAAACGGACTGACAGAACGACAGTTTCCACGACCTGACTGTCTTGAGAAACCTTTCGTGGGTCCTTTATTGGGCATTAATATCAATGAAACCGACAGACAAATTGGGCCATCGGAAATCTCAACGGCTTTAGAGCCTTCTAAGGGTCCAGGAGCTACACTTTCAGAATTATTCAAGGCCGATTTATCAACCACAGCTACAGAGCAAAGATGTATTCGGTAAGCCGAATATACTGTTAAACCCTCTTTACTTTTTTGACTCTGATCTTAATTCATCCAGATATCTTCATTTACTGGCAACCATTCTAACTACCCCATATCTCATTTGTTTCGCTACATAAATTCGATTTTAATATTCGATAGTAAAGTCAATCTTGGATGGCAAAATATTGTAGTAATTTGATCATGGACGGAGCAACAAACGCCATTCAAAACACAATGGCAAGTTTTAATATTCTGATATAATTAAACTAAATCTTAAAGCTGCCTTTTAGAAAACACCTTACACATTCAATACGCCTCAAGGAATTGGCTTGTTTGGGCTTTGGGTTATTTATGCAATATAGTCTCATTATATGTTTACCATGTGTGTCATAGCATATTATTTTAAAGTACCAACCTCTCATTATAAGTGGGAGATACACATTGGAAATAGATATAATTAATAAGTAATTTATTAAATAATTGGTTATTCGGGATGTACTGTTGGTTAATCTAGCTTGTATTTAGAAGGTTTTAAAATCGAAATTATGCCGATGATTTTCCTCCTCATTTAAACGATATTTATTCAATGGCTGCTTTTACTGAAATCAAGCATTTATGAATATTCAACTTAATTTATTTTGTTTTTATTTTCATTGTATTGGGGTTGTATTGGCAATGCTGGACATTATGAAATAATTCGAAATCAGCTTCAGGTCAGTCAAATAAACTTAGCATAGCCTCTCGAAATGATTTCTTAACTTGGACGGTTTTTTGAATCTCAGTTAAGTATAAGAATGGCATTTGATCCCAAAACAGAAAGTATTTTTAATCGCAGGTATGAAGATCAAGATGGTGTGGCTTTTTGTGTAGTCGCAGTCTCCTTTCGTTGTATAGTGGTTGTTTGACCTTGTTTTCGCAACATGGTCATATTGGTAGGAAGACTCATTGGAACTCGTCAA